GTGTTACTTGAAAGGGACAAATGTTACAAGTTAATCACTATTATAACAGATTTTCCAAAGCAGTTTACATCCAAAAAACAGGGATCCAACCAGTTGGAATTTCACATCAACCAGTTGGAATTTCACACTTGTGTCCCTTTGAGTCTAAAGAAACTGGATGTCTGGGAGCAGATTCTATTTCTAAGGAATGCTTTAATTGAGGTTGGCTGTTTTCAAAATGAAGTTGGTGAAATTTGAGCAAATGTGTTAGTTCAAAGTTTGGCATTTTCTGGTGTCCTGCTTGAGGTGTCGGACTTTCCAAGGAGATAGTAATCGTTGCATTTGATATAGCGCTTTATCCCGTCTTCAAGATATCTCCAAGTGCTTCACAGAATATACTGCAAAGTGAATTGACTGTATTTTGTGGGCAAAACGTGGCAGCCAATTGCGTACAGCAGTATCCCACAGAGTCGTGGATTGAGTGACCAATTTATTATTCTTTTTTGAAGGAATTATTAGGCCCGGAAAAGCGATCTGCCAATCGACTAACAACTAGGTTCCTATTTACTGCCAGGTAAACAGGCTTGTGGAGTAAGGAAACTTGCCCAACATTCTGCCCTGAACTTAAACCCAGGTCTCTCGCTTGCAAGGTGAGCGCTCTATCCCCTGAGCTACAGGAGATGAGCATGGGCTGTCAAAGTGGCATTCTGCAGAACACTGCTCCTGCAGTGGGCAGCTCTCAAAATGATCCATAGGTCTGCTTTATATGTTGTCAGTGACAGAATTCCCCCAGCACTGGGTTAGAGGGTCACTCTCTAGACTATATAGAGCTGAGAGTGCTTCCAACTGAGACAGGGAAGCATTGATAGGAACTCAATTTTATGTACAGACAAAAAAGGACAACAGAGTAAAATTCATCTTAAAAAAAATTATATAGTGATTTGATGGCGGTCTTCATGCTTATGAAGGGTTATTATAGAGTAAATAGTGATAAGATTATTTCCACTCCTCAGTAAACAGATAACAAAGACTGACGTGTAAGAAGATCCCAAAAAGAATGAAGAAAATGAATCTTCAGACAGAAGGTGGTGGGAATTTGGAATTCTCTGCCACAAACTGAAGCAGTCCATGAATTCTATTAAAATTATAGATGCTTGAAGAGGGAGGATATGAAAAGAATGGCTTGTTTCAGTGCTGTAATCTCTTATTCTGTGCTGTAATCTAGGACATTAGAGAACACTTGGAAGACCATTGACAGGGAAAACAGTTGCATGAAAAGATTGACCTGATCAGTCATTCCTATGATTTAGTACAGATAGACAATCTTACTCAGAGAGGCCAGAAGAATTGACTGAAAAGCCGCAATGCAGTAAGATGTACTTTTCTGAAGGTGGGCTTGAGGCTTATTTTGTTGGAATACTTTGTGCTGAATCTCTTCATGTTGTACATGATACTAGCTATGAGTAGCATTGTGGAAAATAATCTTGAGGATTAATAATCCTGGGATTTAATAGTTGCACCCATTACCACATCAAACAGTGCTTTAGATTGCTTCTGTTAAGTGGTCACTGTACCGTTTTGGGTAAACCTGGCAGCCACAGTATTGTCCTACAAACTGTTATGAAGTGAGATTGTAGGTCAGGACACTGGGAGAAACTTGCTTTGTTTGAACAATGCCACGTGATCTTTAACGTCTTCCTGAACAGGTGGACGGGACCTCGGATGAATAATGTTTTATCAGAAGGCCGGCACTGCCGTCTGATAATGCAGCGCAACCTCTCGCATTGGAACATCTAGACCAGGGATGGCCAACTTGTGGGCTGCATTTCGCATGCATAAAATAGGCAAGTTGGTCATCCCTAGTCTAGACTATGAGCTCAAAGTCTGGATGTAGTGCTTGAACTCAGTATAATCAGACTTCTGAGGTGAGAGTGCTACTGACTGCACTAAACTGACACACCAGGGTTGACCCGTTTGGTGCAGTAGGAAGATTGTGAGGGAGGGGAAAGAATCGCCAGTGAAACTCTGAAAGGGGCATTGGCCTCTCATCTCATTTGGGGGTGGACCTAAGTCAATTTACATGAAAATAAACTTCAAAGAAACTAATGATGACCTAGCTTACTAATATTAACAAGTCATGATTTACATTTTGGAATCCAGTTGCATTAATAAATTAACATGACCTATAAAACACGTATCCTTTGAAGTATTCCTCCATCAATCACACAGTAGCAATGTACAGTATTAAGTACTAAACTCCTCAACCTCCCGGGGCTCTCCCTCAGACTCAGTGTGCAATCTACAGTATAGGGGTCTGATTCAACCCCCAGCTGTCCTTCCTCCCCCACATCCAGTCGCTGACCAGGACCGCCTTCTTCCACCTACGCCTTCATGCACGCATTTGTCACCTTCTGCTTGGATTACTCCAACCCACTCCTCGCCAGCCTCCCCAGCTCCACTATTCAAAAGATCCAGCTCATTCAAAACTCTGCTGCCCGCATACTGACCAAACTCTGTACCCACATCTCACCGGTTCTGACCAGGCTCCACTGGCTCCCCATCACCAAATGGATCAAGTTCAAGATACTTACACTCATGTTCAAATCCATTCACTCCCTGGCACCTATCTACCTCTTCAACCTCCTCACTCCCCAATCCACCGGCCTCCTGCTTATCAGTCACACCCTCCTCCCCACCATCGAAGGCTGTGCTTTCAGCCACTAATCCCCAAAACTCTTGAACACTCTTTCTCAATCCCTCTGCCTTGTCCCCTCTCTCCCCCTTTTCAAGTCCCACTTGAAAACTTTCCTCTTTACCGTGCTTATGTCCATCTCTCCCCACCCTGGCTCGGAGTCAGGCTCCACCACTGTTTAGCACTTTGAGACACTGCCCTGCGTGGAGGGCACTATATAAGTGCAAGTTGTTGTTGTTAAGATTCATATTTAGGAAAGGGGATTTTCCCTTTCCATCCTAAACCATTAATCTGTGAAATAAATCTGAAGGATTTTAATTCTAGTAAATATTATTTAATGGAGATGGTTTTAAATAGATTTGACACGATGTACTGCCCAAACTGTTCAACTGCAAAGACAAAATCTTATGTGCTGCAGTTTTACTGGGTTGTCCTTTAAATTTTAGAAGATGTTAATGATTTTGTGTCTGAAAGCTTAAATGCTGTACAGATGAAGCTAAAATGGTTGCCAGCTCCGCTAAGTTTTTTTTTATTTAGTTCACTTTAATGGGAGGGAAGAAAATCCTGCTTTTTGTCAACCAGGAGCTCAGATAAGAAGGTGAAGTGTGTGTCTATGATTTGTTGTGAGTAAATTTGCTAGAGATAATAAAGCGAGCTTCAGACTGTGCTCGAGATTTCAAAAATTTCTAGGTTGGTTTATTTTTAAGAAAAGGTGAGGAATTGTATGACCCGAAGATGTGACAGAATGTGCACATGTGCTAAACCTTTTGCACACAAAATATATACGGTCAATTCACCTTACAGTCTATTCTGTGAAGTGCTTTGAGACGTCGAAGACATGAAAAGCGCTATATCAAATGCAAGGATTATTATTATTACCTCACTGCTTTAGGCTTGAAATTTCTTGGAAGTTTATGTTGAATAGCGGAGCTTGGTACCCTTTTATCTTTAGCTGCTTCTACTGATCTTTGAGGTGGGAAAACCAGACGTGTCTTTAAGGTAATTAGTTGAGCCTGGTCAGGATCCTTTCTTCTACCTCATTCCCCGTCCCACGTCCAAGAACCTAACCAAAGCTAGAAATTTTTAAAAACTACTGTCTAAGTGTTGAATGAAACTAGCCAGTAGCTACTCACCTACTATCTTTTAATGCTTCCCTAATATTTAGGTTAGCCATGGAGGTGTTGAGTGTATCAGTTTCCATAAACTCTGGCAATAATCACATACACATCCTTAACTTTGAGAAGCTCACATAGCTTGCTCAGAAAATTTCTCCGTGAATGAACACTCCCTTTATATGGCATTCAGGATTCTTCATTCACAATGCATTTTTGGTCAAGTTTCCTGAGAATTTTATTTTAAATTCCAGTTGAATGTGGCAAAGGAGCAAGTCTTATGATATCAAATTTTAAAGATTGTGGAAAAACAGCTTTTAAATTAAGACTCCATTGAAGAATATTCCACAATTTTCTACACTCTTGCATTTTAAGACAGAATGGCCTTTCAGGTTAAGACGAGGTGGCATTTTGAGCCTCAGGTGGTGCATATTTCCACAAAGTCACCAGGAAAATGCAAATTGTTTTATTAACATAGATACAGTATGTTGGTATTTTGGCATGAATACCTTGAGGCTACCTTCTGGGTTCTTTAAATGTAGATAAGGGAAACAGAAAGAAAATGCACTTTTGTTTTGTGTTTTTTTAAAAGGGGGGGGTTTTAACCGGAGTGGGGGCGGGTGGGGGGAGATGGTGGGTGGGTTGAGGTGGGGACATGAAGCATCACCCACACGATCTACCATGCGACCAAGAGCCCCTTCCCCAGTAGCTTTTCCCGCAAACACACGTAACCATTAGGTCAGTATTCCCTTGGGTCTTGGCTAGGTGGCTTAACAGTGATCTGTGATGGGAGAACAGGTGGCAAAGAACATGTAAATCCAGGACAGTAATACAAGGGAGGAGAAGGGGGTTGATGCTGGGGATGTTTTCCCCCCTTGTTGCTAGGCTGGGTGATATAATGGAGGCTGTGTGTCTTTCTGCTGTAAGCTGGTACAGCTGTTACTACACAGATGAGGTCAGATTTACTGAATGAGCTGTCTATACTAATGCACAAAAGCCACCTGGCTGGATCCTTGATGTGCCCAGTGAGTTGCGTGTATCAGGGATACAGTGGTGCAGCTCAGTAAATACTAATGCGTGTCAGCGGTTCCAGAGATGGACTGTTCTCTCTCTTGGGAGTTTTTTTTCCCCTTTAAGTGGGGTGCTGTGAAATGTTCTTTGATTGAGTAGGTTTTAGGACTTGCTGACAAGATTCCAAATCTCTTTGTATTTGGCAGTTGAATACGACGCAGGATTTTCTCACTACCAACGGCATCACAAGGAATACAAATTTAACCTGTCGCGGATTCCAGAGGGCGAGGCCGTCACAGCCGCAGAATTCCGTATCTACAAGGACTGGGTCAGAGGTCGCTTTGAGAATGAAACCTTTGAGGTGCGCATCTTCCAGGTGCTGCATCGACATGTAAACAGGTGAGAGACAGCCTGGTGTTTAGACAATAATTTGTTGTATTTGCTTCCCACTCCTCCCCCCGCCTCACCCAACCCTTCTGTTTGGTGTCACCTGGTATCGTAAGTCTTTCTCATTCAAGAGGATTTGCTGCTCTTGGTTTTCCCACCAGTGACTCTCTAATGCCCTATTGGGTAAAGTTACTGCCTAGGACAGCATTGAGACATACAGATAGGACAATAACGTTGTAGAATTGAATCCTGGTCTGTGTTGAGTTCACCTGATCTCAGCCAAGGTAGCATTTGGTTTCCTCCTTGAGGGGAAATTGAAGACAGGCAGATAGAGCCTCAGCTTAATGTTTTATCCACAGTCAAGTAGCCAGTTGGATTCAAAGGACAACACTCCTGGAATACAACACTTCCCAGCTTTCCATTGACACACTTAACGAAAGTACTGGAGCCCATTTAAAGAGTAACTTTGAATTTAAAAAAAACTACATATTGCTATGTGTTCAGTTTATTTTGTATTGAATTGTAGCTTGATGTAGGTATGGGGGACAGTCGGGTGGGGATTCTGGAGGGATGAAATCAGGTGGGCTGCAAGATGGGTACAGTGCGGTGGACAGAGAGAGGTTAACAATGTCTGTTAGTGGGGGGCAAGGAGGTGGATTTGGAGGATAGGGGTGGGGATGGGGTCAAGGAAGCAGATGCTGTATAAGGGAACCTGCTTAAGGGAACATTGCTGTACACAAGTTGGCTACAGTGTTCATCTACAAAATACAGAATCAGTAAACTTTTGGACCCTCATGCTCCTGTGAGCACATTGAGACTTCCTCCTTATCTGAAAAACACTACATCAAATGCAAGTATTATTATTATAGTATTAATAATAGTTTTAAATGAGATGAGGGTACAACGATTTTCCAATTAGTTTATTTTTATTTTCTGTTTTAGGTTAAAGAAATCATAACCTAACCTTAACTTCCTTGACAAACTAGTCACACATTGAACAGGATTTGACTGTCGTGAATAGATAAAGTTTTAAGTATGTGGGTAACTTTATTTAAACAGTGGGAAGTATAGATCTGCGATTGACTGCTCAGACAGCTTTATCTGACCAGTTTCCTCAGATTGGTGCTGAGAAGTTAATCACCATTACAACAGGTCAAAGTGTAGTTTAGTTCTCAGTTCACTGAGTAGCAACTCAGTAGCTGATATTGCCTCTGGGCGTTGTGTTAGTGCATGGATCTAATGCATCCACCCTTATGATGTTTTCAAAGGTTATGAATAATCTAATTTCATGCTTAATTGGAGAGAAACAAATAGGCATTTTGTAGGTTGCCAAATACACACAATAGATGGTATTATGTTAGTATTAAATCATGTGTTCCTTTTTTTTTCCTTTCACAAGCAAACTTTGAATTGTCCCTTATATGAAGTGCCGAAACACTACTGTCTTCATAAGTAATTACTATGGGAAGCATAACGTCAAGAGACATGCTATATCCTGTTGGGTCCTATGAATGAAAAAGCACTATTTTTAATAATGATTGCCATTATTTTTAATAAAGGTTAAATGCATCACTAACAGTTTCAACTCCAGTTTTCCTTTTTTTTCTCAAATGTAAGAGCTCCTATTGTCAACAACTAGATCTGAGTAAATGGGAGTAGCTTGTGAAAATAGGGTATGTACTGAAATAGCTTGTACTGAAACATAGATGAAAAGGGTGAGGTCTGCTGCCGATAAGCACTGACTAGACCACTTGGAAACACCCCATTAATTACACATTTTAAAAGTGAGTCATAGGAGCGTTGGGACTGTGTTACAGTGTGAGGTTTTGTGCTATTATTGGGGTGGATTTGTGGCTTAGTGCTTTTGCTGTCGATAACATCAAAACAAATATGGGAAATGCCGGTGAGAAATTCCACCTGCGTCTGGAGTTGCTCTGTTTTATGACGCATTCTGATGTGTCCAGAATTTGGCAAATTGTCAAATTCAATCTGAATTTTGAAGTTTTATTTCTGTAGTTCTTAAAAGAAGTGTGCAGAAAGAAAAGGGAGGTGACCATAGATGTGGTCTGCCAGGTAAGGTTTCACGGTTTTTAAATAAAAGCAAATAGAAAGGGCCTGGCCAAAATTGGCAAATTAAGCTTATTGTGGTTAAGGATGTGAGCCAAGTGATGGATGTGCCAAGTTTTGTGCAGGTGAGGACGTGGGTCATGTTTTGGGTAAGTTGGATCTTATGGATGGTTGAACTACGGAGACTGACAAGAAATGCATTTGAAAATTCGATGTGGGAGGTAACAAAGGCATGAATGAGGATTTTGGAGGCATTTGGTGAGATAGAGACAGAGGTGGGCAATGTGGTGGAGGTGAAGAAAGCTCTTTTGGAAATTTTGTGTAGAAACTTACCCCCAATGTATGCCGATATATCATGCAAGTGAGGAAGAGGAGGGAACCCAGGATAAATCCCAGTGGTATGCTGCAGGTGATTGTATGGAGGTAGGAGGCGAAGCCATTGAAGGAAAAGTGGAAACGATGGGAAATTTAGGATTAGGACCAGGAGAGTGCAGTCCCACAAGGGACGAAGAGAAGATCAAGTAAGAGAGTGGTCGTCAGTGTTGAAGACAGTAGAGGTCAAGAAGACACACAAAGTATACCCCTGAGCGTGGCTGATTTACTTCCATCATGGGTGGTAATGAGTACTTCAGTTGAGCTGGTCTTGCCTTGTTGAGCTGTGTTTCCTCCATGACCTTTAGATAGAGGACTTCACTGACTTCTCCCTCTAGTGGCCTGTTTAAATATTGGTGAGTCTTATTGTGTGTACAGGTGAGAGCTCACACTATCAATTGAGAAATAATTTGTACTCCAAGGACATAAAGATGTGAGTTCATAGTCTAGTATTGATTCTGGAATAAATGCTTGATTTTAAGTTAATGCTGCCATTAAAACCTCCACCGAATCTGAGATGGCAGCAATATTTCACTTTCTAACTGCATTGAAATTTTGGTCCTGCCTAAGTGCAATGATTCTTTGTTTACACCTTGCCAAAAAGCTGAATACTGTGTCATCCATATCTACCCTAAGTCAGAGAACCTGGAGTTCCCATTTAGTGTGCTTTTCTGTACTTTCTATTTTATGACTTGAACTTTAACCACCTGTATCCATCCATTTCAGCGCCTTGGGACGTCCTCCCAATGTGAAAGGCACTATACAAATGTAATTTGTTGTTGTTATCTGGTGATTTTATATACTGGTTTAATTTGTCAAACTGAAGTGCTTGGAGTTAATGGTTGCCACCTTCACCTACAAATAGTTGCTACACTTTGCAGTATATGCTGATAAATGCCTTGAGACATCCTCCTGACATGAAAAGCGCTATATAAAATGTAAGGATAATTATTATTGACGATCATCCGCAGCCCAATATTTTGGGCCCAGTTACGCAGTTGTGTAGGGAGTGAAAGCAATGGGGAGTAACAGGGAACAGTGTTGGTATGTTTCCAGAGCAAGTAGTGTGTCTGCATAGTGGTGAGTACTCCTGTCATTTGCTCATCCCTCCACCCAACTCCAGCACCTGCTGCCTCCACTCGGCTAGCTCCGGCCTCCTATTTGTCCCTCGTCTCCTCCGCTCCACCATCGGCGACTGTATTTTCAGCCACTAGACCCCAAAGTGCAATCTCTCAATCTCTCTGCTTTGCCCCCATTCTCCTCACTTTCAAACCCCACCTAAAGACCTTCCTTTTTGATTGTGCTTACAGTCATCTCCCCCAGGCTTGGGGTCAGACTCCCTGTCTGCAGCTCCAGGATACTAGCCCGTGTGCAGGGAGCTATATAAGTGCAAGTTGTTGTAGCTCATGCTTTTGGTAATGCTGAGATCACCAGTATATGTGCAGAGGTCTGAGAGTTTAATGGATAACTTGCCAATGTTTGATGCATCATGTGATAATCGATTGAGCAATTTGTTTCTCCAATGGTATGCAATTTAAAATTGTTACGTCTTTCAAGGGAAACTTGTACTTGAAGATTTACAGAATTGAAATGCCATAATTAATTTATATTGGGATGAATGTTTGATTTTAACATTGCAACTTCTGTTTTTTACCCTCAGAGTAATAATTTAAAGAAACACAAGTCTTATAGACATTTGAGTACCTAATGCCAACTAATTAGAGTTGTACTTGTGAATATAATTCCAGTACATGTCAGCTTGGCTCAGTTGGTGGCACTCTCGCCTCTGGGTCAGAAGGTTGTAAATTCTGAATGTGATCTCACAGTTTAGGCTGAACTGCAGTGCAGTACTGGAACAAAACTGCATTTTGGAAATACCATCCTTTGGTTGAGAAATTAAAAAAAACAAAGTTCTGTTCAGATGAATATTACAGATTCTGCGACATTGTTTGAAATGAGGACGTTTCTTCTGAGCCCCTGGTCAATAATTCTCCAGATACATTGATTACTCACCTTTATGCCTGTTTGTAGAATTTTCCTGGGGACAAAATGGATGCCTACATTATCACGGAGTGTCAGTAATTACTACAAAGTGCTTGGAGGCACTTTGCCAATGTAGGTGCCATAAAATTGCAATTTTTTTTCTCTCCAAATAACTGGTAAGCCAGGTGTCTGACATATGCTGAAACACATCACCATGCTTAAGACTAGACTGAAAGTTCCATAAGAAAGTCGTAAGGATTTTAAATCGATTACCATTGGAGAAACAAATTGCTTCTGTGAAAGCCAGACTCAATTGAGTCTATTTTCTTTTCCAATATACAATGTTCATTGCACTTCTTAGAGCAGAATAGCAAGGGATAATGCACAATATGGTAATTCCCCCTTCTTCTAATATGATGAGAATAAAATGTTCAACACTTTCAAGTGTAACTTAAGCGTTTTTTGCTTTAACATGATGTATTTTGTCATTCCCTTTGACAGAGATGCTGATCTGTTCCTGCTGGACACGAGGACAGTTTGGGCCTCAGAAGATGGCTGGCTTGTTTTTGACATCACTGCCACTAGCAACTTATGGGTGATGAACCCCCAGTACAACCTTGGGCTCGAGCTGTGTGTGGACACCATTGATGGTAGGTAAACTTGAGCAGTAACACTACTTGCATACATGTCAGATTTCATGGTAATACTTGCTTATGTCCATTAAAAATTCCCTCCTGGAATGGGAGGTATTTTGTGTGTGTGTATGCTGAATAGTTATTTTATATATTGAAGATGGCAGATGTACATGGAGTATTATTTGATTGTTCATATACCATTGTTAAGTTGAGCATACCCATTGTGTGAAACACAACAACAAAATTACATTTGTATAGCGCCTTTCACATCGGGAGAACGTCCCAAGGTGCTGGACAGACAGTTACAGACCCGAGCTGAGGGTTGGGGTGGGGGAGGGGGGGAGGGCGGGGGGGTAAACCGGGAGATCAAAAGCGCAGTCGAAGAGGTGGGTCTTGAAGGTGGTGATGGAGAGGGCGAGATGGAGGAACTGCAGGATGGAGTTCCAGAGGGTGGGGGCAGAGTGGCGGAAGGCCCGCCCGCCGATAGTGGGGCGAGCAAGGCGGGGGATATGAAGCAGGCCGAAGCCTGCTGAGCGGAGAGAGCGAACAGCGTGGTAGGGGGTTAGGAGGTCGGAGAGGTAGGGAGGAGCAAGACCATGGACAGAGTTGAAGGTGAGGACCAGGATCTTGAACTGTATCCTCTGTGATGGGACGCCAGTGGAGTTGGGCAAGGATGGGGGTGATAGGGTCATGGAGCCTGGTGCAGGAGAGGACATGGGCTGCAGAGTTCTGGATGATCTGCAGCCTGTGGAGAGAGGAGTTGGGGAGTTTGGTAGTCTAGCCTTCATGTAATGAAGGCGTGTATGAGGGTTTCGGTGGCCTGCGGTGTGAGACAGTGTTGAAGCCAGGCGACGTTGCGTAAGTGGGCGAAGACAGATCGGATCATGGTTCAGATGTGGAGTGGGAAGTATAGTTGAAGGTCTGACTCTAAGGTTCCGGACTGGCTTAGCAACGTGGAGTGTGCAACCATGGATGGTGATGCTGTCAGCGCCTGAGGTGTGGAGGCGCTGACAGGAGCCAATCAGGAGAGCCTCGGTCTTGTTGATGTTCAACTGAAAACAGTTAGCTCTCATCCAGGACTTGATGTCTGACAGACATTCTGTCAGGACAGAAGTAGTCCCCGAGTTCAGGGCGGAGGCAGAGAGGTATAGTTGGGTGTCATCTGCATACATGTGGAAGTTGACCCCATATCTGCGGATGATGTCACCAAAAGGGAGCATATAGATGTTGAAGAGGAGGGGACAAAGTACAGAACCCTGAGGAACGACGCACGAGACGGTCCGGGGGCTAGAGGAGAAGCTCTTTGAGGAGATGAAGTGCAGGCGGTGTGAGAGATGTGAGAATACTTTGTGCCTCAAGGATATGTTATCATTATGATAAGAGAGTTTCTCCCCATGTCCTGACCAGCAATTCCCTAGGTAATATTGGTGCAAACCCTCGACTGTCCAGGACCTCTGGATGTCCTCCCAATGTGAAAGGTGCTACAGGTGCTCAAGCTCTTGAGTACATTTTTTAAAAATAACAAATCCATGCCAATTCCAGATTTCGTAAGTCTGACTCAAATGCAGTAAAAAAAAAGTTGTAATTGGAAACGCGAGTGTTCCAATTTATTGTTCACTTCATGGTTGTTTATGGAACACTGTTGTGTGCAAATTGGCTGCCATGTTTGCCTACAAATAGTCACTACGCTTTACAGTAAATCCTGTGAAGTGCTTTGAGACATCTTCCTGATGTGAAAGTCACTATTGCCAATGAAGGATTATTATTATGTAACACAGCTATGTTGTGTATATTTTTAGCTTATTCTCTTCAGTCTGCATTTGTGCTGCTCCATAAGTAAGCTTTTCTTTTGACAGTGAAGCTTCTGTCTGTATGATATGTAAATTTAAGTTATTTGCAGCTCAATCACTTGACTACTTTTTTTTAACGTAACAAATCCATGCCAATTCCTGCTTTTGTAAGTCTGACTCAAATGCAGAAAAAAATTGTAGCTGGAGACGTCAGTGCTCTTCATAGGTTACAGCTTCCCATTGTCCAAGTTTGACCAGAATGAGACCCCAATTGCTGAATAAGCTTGTGAAATCTTGAATCACTGAGGAACTTGACTTCCTTCGTGGTTAAGCCCAAGAATTGCGCTGTTGATCTGCAGCTTTTCCTTCTCCCACTTCTACACTTGGAAGCATTGGAAAGCAGAGGAATTGGCCAAAACTCTTAGAGACCAAAGTCTGCATTTTTATTTATTTTGTCATAACTTTCTGGAAAGTATGCCACCAAACCCCTAAAATGTCATCTGAATCAATAGTTCTTTAAAAACCAAAGCTTTCCAAACTTACCAACATGTTTGTCTTCAGTCTTGGGAGGGAGGCTGCTGAACGTAGTTACAGGATGAGATTAGTGCAGGACAAAACAGTGTCACTTTAAACAATGAGGGTCTCCTTCAGACCTCTTGCTCTCCCAAACGGAGTGAAGCTTTTGCTGAACTTGACTCCCCCCACCCCCGGGGATAGCAGTCCACGAGTACCTCGCTCAAATGGATGTTCTTTATCCATGACCATAGGCAGAGAGGATCGAAGGGCTGTACAAATTCTGATTGTGTCCCAGCCTGCCTGTCACGAGCTTTCCAGCAGTTGCAACCTGGAATCAGAATAAGCTACAAGGGTATGGAGTAATGGGACCATAAGGATTGCTCTTTAAAAGTCCTGGGACAAACACGATAATAATAATAATCCTTGCATTTGATATAGCGCTTTTCACGTCGGGAGGACGTCCCAAAGCGCTTCACAGAACACACTGTAAAGTGAATTGACTGTATATTTGTGGGCGAACGCGGCAGCCAATTGCGCACATCAATGTCCCACAAACAGTCTTAGATTGAAAATGACCAATTTATTATTGTTTTGTTTTTTTGGAGGGATTATTATTAGGCTCTGTGTGGAGTAAGGAAACTTGCCCAAGGTTTCGCCCTGCCTGGAATTGAACTCAGGTCTCTCGCTTGCAAAGCGAGTGCTCTAATCACTGAGCCCAGCTACGATGGGCCCAATGGCCTCCTTCTATGCTGTATATTTCTATGCTCCTATGGGAGCCCTGAACTTTTGCTCTTCTCCTCTTCCTTAGGCTTGGGACAGCAAGGTGTATTGTAATTTTCCCCCCATTGATACTCTGGGTTACAATTTGCATATACTGTTCAGACCAGAGTTTGAACCTGGGATATTTCTCATCTTTATTGCTCATTACAGCATTGCAGTGTATTTATCCACTGAGTAATTGGGGAATATAGGGCATTGGCAGCATAGTGGAGATTCTTCCTCCTCGATTACCTGATGTACATTTAGCAGGAGTTGCAAGAGTCAGTGCTGTGAGGCTGAGAAAAAGTAAGTTATGTTCCTACACTGCTGTGGCTTGAAAGACTAATAGTTTCAGGAAAACACTTAAAAAAAACACTGCTTATATGATCATTAGGGCACTATGCCCATGGGACACAAGCCATAGACCTAAAACGTGTTTGGTTCCACATAGGCATCAAGCAGAACAATCAAGGTTTTATAGTTCCAGATGGTTGGCACATGTTGCCAATGCATGCTGCCCTTTGGCGTAGTCTCAAACCATTAAAGGGGAACTTGCATCTAAAGGAGAAGTTTTCGTCCAAAGTGCTCCCACTGGAAATAGAAAAAAAATCTATAGACCAATGCTCAGGCTCTACTGAGCTTTCTTGGTGTTGGACAGTTTCAGATTGGCTCTCAGCCAAAGCTCTTGCTCCCCCACTAAATCCATGCTGATGTCTCCTTGAAATTAGTTGTGGAGTAATGTGGTGAGGGAGGAGGCAAGTCCTGGGTTCATCCTTAAAGGAAAAATGTTAATTTGAGTAATTGTACAAAGGCACTCTACCTTTGGATTTTGGCTCCCTTTTGAAGTTTATTGCTTCACTCTTTACTAACTCGTGAGCCATTACCTCCTGTTGGTTGGTCCTTAAGGTGCTTTTTCTCTAATGCCAGAAATTTGTGCTAAACTCTGAATGTCCCTGAAGAAACATCATCTAGATTCCAGACTTTTATCAGACCCAGTATCCCATCTACAGAAAGTTTCACAGGTCCTACATTGGTGCCATCTGTCCAGCTAGTTCACAAGGCACGAGGCCAAAACTTTCTTACATTTGATGCTTCAATCAGAAGAGTTCATTTATCTCTGACACCAGACTGTAGTTTCAACTACTGATGCACAGTCCAAATACTCTACTCCACATCTTAACTAATGTGTATAAATGTAGAATATAAAAGTTTCTTGGTTGTGGAAAGATTTGCTTTGTTGGTATAGTAGATGCAACCACTGACCTTCAACATTGATCCTGGTGGCTGTTCACCTGTTAGGAAACATACCTAATAGACAGCGCTTTGCCCACAAGGTATGCAGTCAATTCACTTTACAGTATATTCTGTGAAGTGCTTTGAGGCATCTCAAAGATGAGATAAGGCCAATATTGGAGTTTGCTGGAGTAGATTAGCTGTTAAGTTTGACCAAATCATGACTCATTTCTAATATTGTTCTATAAAGTGTTTAGATGTTTAATTTAATAGGAAAGGTATTACATAAATTGGAAATTATTTTCCATTCCCATCTGAGCAGGAAGAACAAGTTCTGGACCTTTAATACAGATATTCAAAAGATTACTGACTTACCAGCACTGAAGACATAGTCAATTTGTAGAGAGCGAGTACACTCGGCTTGATCATAATATTGGCCAGTGACGGGTTGTTGCTTCAAAGATTATAAAATCTATTTCTGATGGTATAGGGACTGATCATCTTCATCAAAGATGAGAAATGACTGCGAGTCTTTGCATTGCTCTCTTGTCTATATAATTAATTTATTTTCTCTCTTCCCCCACTCCCACCTTTCATCCTCCAGTTCACCAGAATTTATATTAATGTAAAAAAAGGAAGATCTGGTATCTTAATGCTGCTGGGAAAAGATGTGCTTCATTATTCTTAATATTTGCTATGTGGCTTATCAAAGCAGAT